AAAATTAACAAAATTTTTGAATCTTGTCAATTTGTTATTATATAAAGATGTTTGTTATATAAATTTTGTCTTAATATTTTTCGTTGATTATTAAAATATAAAATTTTCAAAAACTGTTATTTATTAAACATCAATAGATCAAAGTAAAATTTACAAATGTATAAACTAATGTGTTTGCAATAAATAGTCATACTACGCATGTCAGTGCATATACCCATTTTAAACACTTTTGTGCGGGGTGTTTTATTAAAAAATCATCAAAATCTCCCAAGAAGATGCAGTTTTTATTTCGTTTTCAATTGTTTCCTTGTCAGGTTGACATAGTCTAATAGTTTGCCAAATATTTTTTTATTACCATGACATTCAACCTAAAACGTCTATATTGATGCGTTGTACAATTAGTTGCCTATTTTTTTTAGCTTATTTTTTTCACCAGAATTTTTATTCGCTACAATGCTTCCCACAGCCCTGATTTATGTTTAAATTAAATAATCTCTCAATTACTTAAGATATTTCTTTGAATTAACACTAATTTTTTTTTTAATTTTAAATATATTTTGCCATTTATTTAATAAATAGTAACCATATATATTTTACAACTTTTTACATTAACAACGACATTAGCAACGACATTTAGAAGGTTATGAGAATCTAATCATAAAGGCATTTTACAATGCATTTTGATATTGTTGTAAATAATTCAATATTAGCTTTGTTCTAATAGTGCTTACTCAAATAGTATTTGCATAGTATATATGACAATCTATAAATAAACAATATAAATGTGTAAAATGGCTTTTACTTAATATATTTCTTGCTTTATAAAGAATTGTTGTTATTATTCAACCCTCAAAAAAAAAACTCCCACTAACCCCCTTCCCCTAGAAGGCAATTATCTAGTTATAGTCGGATTTTTGAGGAATATAGTTGGTTAGACGATATTTTACACATATCAGTCCCGTGATTTTTAATTTTTATAACCATCTTTTTAAAACCAGCACTTTAAGAAGTGCTGACTGCTTTTCAGGGGCGAATCCCTAAAGAGCAGTTATTATTTTTTATTGATTAGCCCCTATCAGAACGGATTCAGCCCTCCTCCTCCCCCCTCTCCCCATTAGAATGTGAAAGTCTTAAAATATCTAGGAAGTGGAGTATTTTTTTATGGAGACATATATTTGTCACAAAATACAAAAATATTTCAACATAAACCCACCACCAAAAATTCCTGGATCCGTTACTTCCTTCTATCCTCATTTTATTTCTAGAATCGCCCCTGTATTAAGCAATATTGTTTATGGAGTATGGTTCACAGCTAAAATTATTTTTTTTTTTTATTAATTCAATTTTTTATTACATTTACATTATTATTTAATTAATTCAATTTTTATTACAACACAACTTAAACATAACCATGTTAAATGATTGTAATTAAGTTCGATATCAAAACTACAACTAGTACAAACAACCGTTTTTTAACCCGTTATTTAAGAAAGTTAATTTAAATTTTAATTAGTTTTTTAAGTAATAATTTTAAATCTAAATAATAAAATACAATATATGCGTGCAAAGGTGTAATGGATTTGTGCAAAGGTGTAATGCATTCGTGCAAAGGTATAATGCATTGATAAAATCAGCGGTTTAGTAAATACGCGATACTTTAATTAGATAATTTTAAAAATCAATTATAAATTATTTTTTAAATAAGTTATAATTAAAGAGTTTAATTTTTTTATCAAAAACTTTGATCTTTTTATTGCTTTAGGTGCGTAGTGAGTGGTTTAAAAAAAAAAGAAAGAAATGTGTTTGCGTAAACTCTCGGTAATTTTTAAAAAATTCGGCAAAAGATGAGCTTTCTAAATACATTTGTAGCCAGGTAAGATACAATCAATCAATCAAAGCTTAGAAAGTTAGTGTAGTCATTTTTTGAACATGAGTGTTGATGTATTTTTTTTTATATATGTTACACTAAAATGTCCTTATGAGCCATCTCTGACTGTTGTTTAAACTATCTTTTACTTTGAACACTTTAAATATTTTGTTTGGATTTTCTTTAAATAAATTTTCTACATACATGCATACATACATACATACATACATACATACATACATACATACATACATACATACATACATACATACATACATACATACATACATACATACATACATACATACATACATACATACATACATACATACATACATACATACACCCATACATACATACATACATACATACATACATACATACATACATACATACATACATGCATACATACATACATACATACATACATAAATACAAAATAATCTTTAAAATATTTTGCGGATACACGACTTTTTGTAAATTTACAGATGTACCTTAATCTTAAAACTCAATTCCTTCCTTTAAAATTTATATTTTTTCTTTACCATGGTTACGGGCGAAGATCTTGTTTCAGGTCAACAAGTCAAAATGCTTGGTGTTCTAGCTTGCTTAGTCTGCAATCGATAAAATTAACTTTTTTATTTTTTTTATTTTTGACGAGATTAAATAAAAACTACATAATTTTTGCTACTAAAAGTTTCATGCGTTTTACAATCATAAGTTAAAAAATACATTTATTTTTGAATTGATGTATTTTTTACATGATGATTGCAAAACGCATGAAACTTTTAGTAGTAAAAATTATGTAGTTATTTTTAATTAATCTCCTCAAAAAAAAAAAAAAAAATTATACAGAATTATATAATTAATTTTGTTTTCATCAGAGTTTATCATGTTATCAGAGCTCTCTGATAACATTCATCGAGCACTCTTGCTGAATATATGTACACAGTAAAATTAAATTTATTTATATATATATATATATATATATATATATATATATATATATATATATATATATATATATATATATATATATATATATATATATATATATATATATATATAATAAATCATAATAATTTGTTTAACATCTTTGCTAATATTGTGCCTCGGAAAAGAGCATTTTCAACAAGTATTATCTCACAACTTATGCAAGAAGAATTATATTTACAAATAAAACAAAAATACCACAATCTTACTTATCCGTTTAAAAATTAAAGTTTTTAAACTGAAATATTTAAAAATGGCTAAAGTTACCCCGCTGGCCATAGTTACCCCGTTTTACGGTAAATAAATCAATAATAACAATTTGACACTGAACCAATAATAACAATTTGAAATTGAACCAGGAAAATCTATTTGAGTAGATTATGACAGAGAAACAGAAACAATATTTGAACGACGAAGTGAATATGGCTTTATGATAGACTTAGGGGGGGCTTGCTATTTATACTAATTTCTAACATTTTTTTTTTATATAAAAAATGAGTTTGTGTTTTGAATTGTTTTTATTTTTGTTTCATATTATGCTTATATTGATATGTAGCTTTGACCGCCGCTCTAATTTCGTAAAAACTTGAATTTGTTGAATACAGTGAATACATCATTTTACTAATGAAATAATACCAGTTATGCACAACTTAGGGAAAACTCCTTTCAGACAAACATTGTATTCTTTACCAAAATTGGTACAAAGTTATATCGTTTTATGGAACTGCTAGTATTAATTATACAATAGAGACAAAGAATATTTTTTTTATTTTTTATTATTTATTGTTAATGTTTTTGGTGTCCAAAAGTCTGTATATATATATATATATATATATATATATATATATATATATATATAATATATATATATATATATATATATATATATATATATATATATATATATATACATATATATATATTTATTTATTTATATATAAATACATATACATACATATACATACATACATATATATATATATATATATATATATATATATATATATATATATATATATATATATATATATATATATACCGGTTTTTACATCCATTTAAAACAATCATGACAACCATTTAAAACAACCATGACATTCATTTAAAACACCGCGACAATCAATTAAAACAATCGTGATTTTCAATTAAAACATTTAACGCATGCGCAATCTCAACATTCTGAATTATTTTTAAAAAACAGGTCTTCTTTATATATTTATTTATCTAATATTATATAAATTTATTTTTATTAATATTATATTAATTTATTTTAATTTAATGGAATTTATTTTAAATATATATGAATATATAAAAACATTTAACGCATGGTATATGAATATATATATATATATATATATATATATATATATATATATATATATATATATATATATATATATATATATATATATATATATATATATATATATATATATATATATATATATAATGGAATTTATTTTAAATATATATGAATATATATATATATATATATATATATAAACATTTAACGCATGGTATATGAATATATATATATATATATATATATATATATATATATATATATATATATATATATATATATATATATATATATATATATATATATTTATTTGTGTGTGCTTGTGTGCTAATAATGAGAGTATTCTAATTTTTTTATACAACTTACATTTTTCACTTTAATCTTTTTATTGTTTAGTTGTAAACTTAGTTTTTTTTTTAATCGAAAACTAATTTTATTTTGAAAATTAGAACACTTTTATGTGATTATATACATTTAAAAAAAAATTAATTTTAGTTTTTAAATAAATTATGTTGTCTGGAAGAATAATTACGATTTTTTATGGAATTAATTTGTTATATAAGTAAGGACCGCGAGAGAGTTAAGTAAAATTTATCTAATCTTCAATAGTTAAATTCATTATTTTGACGATTTTTTTAAAGTATTTTTTACATTTTTGACCCAATGACCATGTATAGAAAACATTTTAGTTTATTCTAGTTTCATATCAGATAAATTTATGTTACTTTTTTTGTTTTATTTCTGTGGTAGTTTGGTAAACTTTTATTAAAAATGACGTAACATTAAATTATATTTTTTTTAAAGTGACGTCAAATTCGAAAAATTAAAGTTGAATTTTTGGGTAACCAGTTAAATAAAAAGTTCAACATGAAAATCGGAAAAATTTCGCGTTCTTCAAGAGGCAGTTACAATTTTTTAAAAGAAAAACCTTTTCCATCAAAATGGAGCAGGCTGAAAAAATTGAATTTTTCTTCAGAAACGTTTGAAGAAATTCCAATATTTTTAACCGAAGCGGATTACTCTTCGAAAAAAAACAACATTGAAAAAATTTCAAGCAACTTCTTTTTTGAAGATATTTCAACAGAAAATTCACATTTAATGATAAATGAATCTAGTGAACGTTTCAGTTGTAAAGAAGGCGATCAAACGAATATTGAAGAAAGTTTGCAATTAAACTGTGATAGAAGTAAACAATTTAGCAGTGAAGGAATCGCAAATTTGGTTTGTGGGGAAGACAAACAATTTTATTGTGAAAAAAACAAACAATTAAGTTATAATGGAATCACGCAATTAAACTGCGAAGGAAGAAAACCGTTAAACTGTAAGGAAACTCAACACATGAGTTTTGAAGAAAGCGAACAACTTAAGTGTGAAAACATGCATTTTAATTGTAAAGAAATCACACAGTTGAATTGTAAAGAAAGCAAACTGAGTTGTGAAGAAAGCAAACTTAGTTGTGAAGAAAGCAAAAAATTTAGCAGTAAAGAAAGCACGCAGTTGATTTTTAAAAAAAATATGGAAACGAATATTTCTTCCTCTAAAAATCATTTCAGCTGTAAAAGAAAGAAAATGAAGAACTACGAAGAAAACAAACAACTAGTTTGTAAAGAGAATAAGCAGTTACATAGTGATGTCAGCAAGCAACTGAATTTTGAAAGGAAAGCTAAGAAAAGTAAAACGGAAGCTAATTTTGATATACAACGCAACCAAATCAAAAAGGAAACTGTTGAAGGATTTGTAAAAAAGGTTTTAAGAACTGATCAAGAAGATACTGATCAGGAACTTCCTGTTAATGATAAAAGAACATTTGTAGAAAGAACTCGAAGAAAGATAGACTGTGGAAGTTATCCCAATGAGTCAGTTAATGAAGATAGTTTACCAAAGATTTTAAGGTATTCCTTTGTATTATTTATCAACTTCTACAAGAAAGAATTCTTTTTTAAAAGAAAGTCATGCAGAATAAATAGAACTTTCAGATGTTTTTTTTTTTTTTTCTAGATACGTGTGGAAAGGAAAGCTTAAAAAGTTAAAGACATATCTTGGCAATCCTGCAAATCGTGCAAATATTGACTGCGTTGATAACTTGGGGAGGTATTAATTATAGTCGATAATAAATTACGTCAATTTTATGAAAGTATATCTAAAAATAAATACCTTTTTAGTATTTTTAATTTCAAAAGAATTTTTTTTTTGTAATCAGGGATGGATTCAGCATTTTCTTGGTATAGTTGATTTCCAGACACGGAGCAAACTCCAAATATTTATATGTTTATATTTATATCAAATAAATGCTATGCAAAAAATTGCGATGATTAAAACTGAGAACGAAAAAGCCCCAAAATCATTGTTCCCCTCCATCTGCCCCAAACGTTAGATAAATGTTTTTTTTTTTACTATTCTTAACTCAATTAATATTTATCAATAACTATTAAATTTCATAGAACAACTTCTTAGCCATATATGATCGTATTTTTAAAAGCTAAATAATTATTTTATAAAACTTTAAAATTATTGATAAATATTAATTTATATGAGAATTGTAATAAACTTTTTTCAACTTGATGCTTTACAAAAAATTACAATTTTTTGTAAAACATCTCAATTTATCATATTATGACAAATAAAGATGCTTTACAAAAAATTTTATCACAGGGGGCGGATCCAAGATTTTTTTGAATCTGATATCTAACTTCTAGACACCGAACTAACTCCTAAAATGTATATATTTACACTTATTAAGTGTAAATATATAAAATTTATATATTTACACTTATTAAGTGTAAATATATAAATTTTAGGAGTTAGTTCGGTGTCTAGAAGTTAGATATCAGATTCAAAAAAATCTTGGATCCGCCCCCTGTGATTAAGATCAATTTTAAGGTCATCTTATGAAAATATAAAGCCAACGCTTGAAAAAAAAAGAATAACTTATTGCCTTATCTTATTCAGCGTTACAATATTAGATATATTTATTTAGAAATATTAAATACTATAATATTTGATTAGTTTTCTCAAGATACATACAAGTTATAATGACATATGCTTTTTTATACCATGTATAATAAATGTAATTTATGATAATTTATTTACAGATCCGCATTACATTTTGCTGCATCATGGGGCTGTTTAAAATTTGTTCTTTTTTTATTGGAAAACGGAGCAGCGGTCAATATACGTGACAGCCAAGGAAAGACACCTTTGTTTAAGGTAAAAAAATTCAATTACACCTTAAAGCAATTTTAAGATGGTACGCATATTGGTTCTATAAAGGGCTCAAACTGACTTAGATTTGGAGCCAATCAAGTCTTTTGTTAGCGGAAATTGCCCAAGGTCAAATATAAGATTAAAATTGGTAACCCGATATTTATGATTTTTATGTGGGTGTTATAAGGGCTCATTTCTGGGCTGCCAATTGCGCTTCTAAAAATATTACTTTGTTTTACAAACGGTAACCATTCAACTTGAATACCGCGATCAGTACATATTAAACTCAAAAGAAAAAAATAATCCAAATTTCTCATTAAAATAACTTACGAGCATAATTTTTTCGCTGTTGATAACAAAAGTACACACAAAACTAGCTTCTCCTAAATTGTATTTGTAATTTATCTCACAGTCTAAGATAATCTAGTCATGTAACTTTCGTGTTTTAGGTGTCTATAAGTTACTAGACTTTATATTTTTATTATTCTACACTGTATTCATACTTAAAAATAGATTTCAAATTTTATAAAATAATATTTTAGCGTTGGAAAGCTATGACTGCGTAAAGTTTATTATCCTTTATTATGGGTGTTAGGGAAGCACAAGTTTTGAGATATTTTTGTTTTAGACCCAAAAAAAGATAACTTTTTAGTGAGCATTAAAATTTGATATATAAACATACTCAAGTTTATAATTTGGTTTATACATTTTATCTCAAGTATTATAAGCGCGATTTAAAAAATCATTGACAATTTCTTTGAATTATGTGTTTGTTTGTATTGAGGTTTAGTTGAAATAAAAGGTTTCTGCATTGAGCCAGCATTGAGCCTGCATTGAGTCTTCATTGAGTATGCATTGAGTCTTCATTACAATTTAAGCCTAAAATTGTTATAAACTTTTAAATTCAACCTATAACTTTTAAATTTAACATTTATGGGTTGAATTTAAAAGTTGTTATAATTTTTTGAGTTTGTTAAGAATAATTCTTAACTTTAATGAGAGGTTTAATCATATCTAGTACTGACTTTTGCAGTCGTTCAGCGACAACATTTATTAATTTTAACGGGGTTTTCATTTATTAAAGGTTTTTTTGAAAAAGTGTTTCACATATAATGATCTTTTTCATTAAATTTATACCAATCCAAAACTAGATAGTTGCTAGAGAATTGCTAGCTAAAAACCAATTTTTTAGAGATTTTTTTTCTCTCATTATTGTTTTGTTTCGTCTTTTACGTCTTAAATTTTTTTTTTAATTGAATATGATTATAATTGAGTTTGTAAGATTGTGAGTTTATTACGAAACTTCTACTTAGTGGGTATGGAATGTAAAAAATACATATTTTAAACGTCTTTTTAACGTTTTGGACGTCTTTTAAAGGTTCAAAGACGGTTTTTTTAGATCTCGTACCCACTGGGTAACTACGATTCTATTGCTAATATGTGAAAAAAACCACCCACAGCGATAAATATTGTGGGTTTTTAGTTTTTCATTTTAAAACATTTTAAAAATTCGAATGGTATAAGTAGAAATCTGACATTAATTTTAAAAAACGCTTGTTGTGTAAAGTAGCTTCACAACATCGATAAATGTCAAAACCACAAGTCGAAATAACCCACCATCCCAGGATTTGGGCACCGGACTTAACTAGACAATCATAATTTCAAGTAAAAAATTTCATTAAGGTTCAAATTAACAAATTGAAATAATATTGATAACTCTTCTCACTTACTCTTGCCCTTCAAAGCTAGTTATGATCGAAGACGAGTTCAGCTCTCTAATGAGCGGAACTCGTCTTTGAAGGTCTTGGTAATGTTGCCTCTGAATGGCAATTAGCTGGAAGAGAATAAAGTACAATACCTAAAAATAATTTCAAGTTTCATTAAATTTTGAGGCATTGATTTAATTATTTAAAGAGTCGCTGAAGTTCAGATTTTTTTTTTCTCCGCGTGCTTAACAACTTCAACAGCAACACTAAAATGTTCTTACAACGGCTGGAACATCTCAATGCTCGATTAAACTGACTTTAAAATCAAATTGCCACAAATTAATATATTCAAACCACATTGGAATAAACCTTTTTCAAGATTTACCTGCAAATGATCAAAATTTAGTTGCACTGAGGCTTGGTGTTTTTCCTGCATTGATACTCAACATTTGTTTTAATTATTAAAAATCCTCTAGAACTTCTTCGGTGGTCTACTATTAGTTCACAAAAGACCATGCGAAGGTTAGCATAAGGTTTTTATGAATATAATATATTTTTTCATAATTTTAAGTTCATTATGTTTGTTGATATAATGCACATTTTCTTTTATTGAGTTGTTTTTTTTAATTTAGCATCTCTCAGAGAAGTCAAGTTGTGACCCACAACTTTAGGCATTAAACTTGATTTTGCACCTGGTCAAAAAATTTGTACAAATTCCTTAATCTAATTAAAAGTTTTCACAACTTTCAAAAGAATGAAGTTATCAATTTCTTTTAAAATTTCATTGAAAAAAGATTTAAACTTTTATTTTAAATTGAAAAAAGTTTTAAAAAAAAGTTGCTTAGTTCGAAAAAATGTTACTTTTAATAAAAGATAATCTCGGAAACTGATGTTGATTTAAGGACAAAATTCAGTATTGACTTTGTGCTCACAAGATGATCAATTGAAACAAACAGTGAGTATTTTGGTGTTTTAAAGTATATAATAGTAAAATCTAGAGCTTAAGTAAAAAATGAAGGAGTCCTTGCAGTTCTCCAAACTAAAAGAAGTAAAATGCTGCCTGATCAAAAAAACACTTTTGTAAAAAAGTTTTATGAAGTTGGTGAATACTCCGGCCAGATGACTTTATGAGCATTAGTTGGAAAGTTCATATGCAAAAACGACTAATTTTATCAAGCTTAAAAGAGTTGTTTGTTTCATTTAAAATTCTTTATCCACGTGAAAATTTAGAACTTTCTAAGTTTTGTGTTTTAAGACCTAAATGGTGTGTTTTGTCGAACTATTCAGAAACTCATTCTGTGTGAGTTTGTATTTACCACCAAAACATGAAGTTAATTATCTTACCCATTAAAATTGATTACCATAAACTATATTAATTTATTGTTTGTGATATTCAAAACAAGAATGCATGCCACACCAATGTATATAATGCCCAAAAAATACATCTGAAGAAAAATTATCTTGAAGAAAAATAATCTGAACTTATAGGGGAGCTTGAGAAACAAATCGAATTTAAACAACGAATTACTACTAATCAGGGTGCGGATTCACCAAACTTTCGTAACTCTTGCGTAGCTCAACTAAGGTTACGGAAATCGTAAGTTCAGCGTAGTTTTGGTATTCACCAATGTTTCGCAGCATTTCCGTAAAGTTAGGGTTGCGCACGAGTTGCGCCAAACTTACGCAAAAACTTACGCAAAAATCAACCAAGATAATTTTTGTTTGAATAAACCAAGTTTTCGTAATTTTATAAAACAAACTTTTCTAATATTGAATTCATATAATTTCTAACTAATTTAAATTAGGGGTTATTACTAATTAACATTTTTCACACCCTAATAAAATGACAATAATATTTTTTATAAACTTTGCTGTAAAAACTAAATACTTTTTATTGAATATTTATTTAAAAAAAAAATTATAAATATTAGGAAAATAGTTTTAAGTTGAAAAGAGGTAGAGAGGGTTCAGAATTGATTATTCTACAAAGAGGTTATTAAGGGCAGATAAATTTTTAAATTGTTTAATATGCAATTAATAAATAAAAAAAAACTTTCATTTTTTTCATTCATAAATATCACGTAAATCATATATATCCCCATATCGCCTTCAATTTAATAACATAGTTTTAACTAGTGTTCTTTGTACAATGCCAAGTCGAATTGGTTGACTTGTGTTAATTCAACCTGAACATAGTGTACATCATCTTCGTTGTTTTCCTCAAAGTTTATGTCATCTAGAATTTCTAATCCTAAAGAATTGTAAAAGTTTTCCAGCAACTTACACTTGAAATATATTTTGCAATATATAGTTTGGGTAAGCATATGTTTAGGAGCACTGAAGTGATTCACGTCTCTTGTGACATCCAATGGTTTTTGAGATGATCAAAGGATTGCCCCACATCACTATCTATCTGTAGGTGAACTTTATTGAAATAGATTTTTTCTGGTGTAGTTGGCTGATTAAATGGTGCAATCATGACTGTTAATAAGCAAAAAGGAAATCTGCATTAGGATTATATTCTAATGTCTTTTTCAATTCAAAAATAGAAAAAAATAAAAATTATTCTTTTTTTGAATTGACTAGTAGTTTTTACCAATTATTATTTGAAACTCCCAGTTAACTTAAAAACTCTCAGTTACATTTTTGCTTCTGAAGAAATTGGGTTGCTCCTCAATATGCTTGGTGACAAATCATTGTTAATATGTTGGCTTTATATACTTCTATATATTTTTATACAAATGAGATTTTTTAACACATTCTACATCAGAGTAATCGTTTAAAGCAGTATATTGAGCTTAACGCTAGATTTGATCTTGACCAAATTAATCAAATTTCTATTTAAACTAAAACAAAATAAAGCTATTAAAACAACTAAATGAACTATGATAGTTAAACTTAATGAGACACGTACCATATAACAAAAAACTGTGAAATAGAATATTTATAAAAATATACTTGCTTTTTTGTAAATATATAGTGTTTTATTAATATTTATAAAGATATAGTTGCTTTTTTTATGAATATAATAATTCAATAATTGTATATATTACCAAAATCATAACTGCATTATAACAATACAGCATCTTTTAAAATATAATCCAAATAATATACAATATACTATAATATATTAATTTAAATAACAATGTTACTATTATTTTGCATAAGATGTTATGCTATATTAATAATATTTTAATATAAATAAATTAAATGCATTAGGTTTAACTTAATTAATAATATAACATCTTAATGGTTGCAATAAAGATGTTATATCAATATTTATTTATAATATATCATCATGATGCATGTAATTTAAATATATTCGGACCCTATTATATGCTATATTACAACTATAAGATAATAAATTGATCATATTATACAAAAATATAACAATAATACTATGATATTATAATACACAACGTTTAGGTTTATTAAACAGTTATATAACTGACAAAAACGTGATGACCTACAAATCTATATATACGTGTGTTTATATATATGCGTATATATATATATATATATATATATATATATATATATATATATATATATATATATATATATATATATATATACATATATATATATATATATATATATATATATATATATATATGTATATATATATATATATATATATATATATATATATATATATATATATATATAATATATATATGTATATATATATATGTATATATATATATATATATATATATATATATATATATATATATAAACACACATACACAATCAAACATACATAGATATTTATACAAACATATACATACATACATACACACACATAGACACACACCAAACACACATACACACAGTACGTGAATGTATGTATGTCCAGTGCGCGCATACACACATATACGTATATGTGTATATGCACACGCCTATTTATGCATATGTGTGTATGATACACATACATACATACATACATACATACATACATACATACATACATACATACATACATACATACATACATACATACATACATACATACATACATACATACATACATACAAACATACATACACACACAAACACATACACACATATACGCAAAACACATACATTCATACATATACATACACACATGTATACATATACAAGCATACACACAATACATATACACGATCACACACACACATATATATATATATATATGTAAATAAACATACATGAATAAGTAAACACTTTATACGTAACAAATATTAGGATGTTATTAAGTTATAAAAATATTATGATCCATTTGTATTTCAAATATAAATGGCATTTATATTTGAAATATAAATATACATGAATTGTATATATTATAATAAAATTCTATATCAATCTGACAATATATGAATCATAATAATATTACACTATTTCTAATATTTAGTTATTTTAACTTTACGCCAAAGTTAAGGCAGCTAATAGCTAACGCAACTTTTCTTGCTTAAATTGAGCTGAGCAAAATTATAAAAAGTTTGGTGAATACCGATTTTTTAGCACAGAAGTTACGAAAAAACTTACGTAAGTTTTGTTTAACGCAACTACGCAAGTTTCGTGAATACGGATTTCACTGTTTTGAACTTACGCCAAACTTACGCCAAACTTACGCAAAAAAAAAGTTTGCTGAATACGCTCCCTGCTTATCGAGTTGCATTTTTTTAAATTTGACAAAGTTTAAAAATTTTTTTTAAATCTTTTATTATTTTAAATATTTGAATACTGCTGATTTGGTTTCATTAATTTTTATTTAAACAGCTTCACTTAAATAACTACGCTATTAGATTTCAATTTCTGAATAATTAAAGTTGCAATAAAATTTATTTACAATAAAAGTTATTTATATTTAAATCGATCAATCGTTCAATGTATAAAACAACTTAATATAGTTATACCAGAAACAAGCATTTAAATATAACAATAATTTAATACAAATAGATAAGCAAATATGACAAAAGATTCAACATTTTCTAAATAAAAAAAAACAACTAAAAGCTTTTGATCTTAGTTCCATTCAGTAATATTTTTCCTCCGTTTGTTAAAAAGCTCTATTTCAAAAAATGGACGAATGAGCAAATAAGGTTGAAAGTTACCTAATATTATATTTAGTGTAACTTAATACATTGTTTAATACTGTCGGTTCTCCGCCCCTCCCACAAATTCAAACATTAAAATTACTATTTTCTTCTAAAAAAAGTTATAACTAATTAGAATTCTAAGATAAAGAAGTTGGAACTAACAAACTTCTCATGACCCCAATATGTCTGAAATCACTCGCGACATTTAATTTAACATTATAATTTGTCTGAAATTGATCACTCGCGACAACAAATGTTGCAACGTTGTCACGTTGTCACTCGCGACAACAAATGTTGCAACGTTGTCACGTTGTCACTCGCGACAACAAATGTTGCAACGTTGTCACGTTGTCACTCGCGACAACAAATGTTGCAACGTTGTCACGTTGTCACTCGCGACAACAAATGTTGCAACGTTGTCACGTTGTCACTCGCGACAACAAATGTTGCAACGTTGTTGATATCTTTCATTAAGTTTTTTGTTGACAACGTTGTTGACTGTTAAAAATGAAGTAATATATTTGAAAAATAGCTCTGAAAAATAAAATTTATGAAATATGGCATTATACCAATGCCATCTAAAAGACAATATTTTTTGAAAACGGCAAATAGTCAGTTAATAGTTTATTAGTTAATAAATTTATTAATTCTTAATCGCTTACCACCCTTATTTTAATAAAATTTAAATGAAATCGGGAAGAATATATTAAAATATGAATGCAATTTAGCTAGTTGTTAAATAAAAAACTTTATTCTAATTCACAGTATATATATACATATATATATACTGTGAATTAGAACTTTATTCTAATTCACAGTATATATATATACATATATATATATATATATATATATATATATATATATATATATATATATATATATATATATATATATATATATATATATATATATATATACATATATATATATATATATATATATATATATATATATATATATATATATGTATATATATATATATATATATATATATATATATATATATATATATATATATATATATATATATATATATATATATATATATATATATATATATATATATTCAAAATATAGTTTATATAATTTAGGTTTTCTATTCGTTTTAATATTTTTACTAATTTAAATTATACAGCCTTTGGAGTTATAAGCTGTATGTTCCCCAGGAATCAATACGAGGACTTCTCTTTTACTTTATCTTTACAAATGGTATTCACTTATTCTACAATTCTTTTGATTTTATCCATACATATGACATCCACCTCTTCTCCAAGTCTTTTGATTTATCTTTATAAATGACATCCACTAGTTGTCCAAGACTCTTGATTTTATTACTTATACTGGTAATACCAATATTTTATTTTTTGATTCAAATTTAAAATTGGTTGTCCTTTTTTTAAAAAATAGAACTAATAAATATCAATGACTGATTCAAATCAAAAAACTGTTTTTATATAAACCTGATTACGATTTCTTAAAATATTCTTTAAAATATCTAGTTTATTTATAAAGAAAATTAAAATAAAACATAAAATAAAAGTCTAGCTAGCGACATCGAGGCAATAATTTGGACTTTATGATCACTAACTACATAACTTAACAAATCGTTAATGGCAACATTCAACTATAAAGGCTCTTTGTTATCCAAAAATATTTTTAGCTAAAAGCTATTTATAAAACGTTTTAAATTTTAATTTAATTTTAGTATTTACAACAATAACAAACTTTTTTTTAACTCAATTTTATTTATTATTAGGTAAATATAATGAAAAATGATAAGATGATTAAAAAATAACAAATATTTTAATACAATAAACTCCCTTATTCGAACCTCCGAGAAAAGTAAGAACTTACTTTGAATAACCGAATTTCGAATAACTAACAATCCTGTCTCGGATAAAGTTTGTTAAGGAGGAATAAAAATTGCTTCCAATAAGTGGGAAATTCGAATAAGTGCCACTTTGAACCTTGAGTTTATTGTGATTATTAATTTTTTTTTGTTGTTGTCGTTGTTATTATTGTTATTATTAAAAATAATAATTTTTAATTATAACAATGATAAACTCAAGAATTTATAAAATTGTCTCAATTAACAAATAAAACTTTTCTTTATTAGGACTCAGTAATGCAAAACATATTTTTCTTGGTATAAAATCTTAGAGGCTCTCACCTCAACTGGTTTTTAAAACCCAACTTAGAATTTTGCTTTACCTTTTTCAAATAATTTTGTAAATTTTTAGATATTTATTCAATTAAATATACAAATACTTTAGGCTGTCGAAATTCGAGCATTACAGTGCGTAAAAGTTTTGATGAAAAATGGTGCAGATGTAAACATAAAATGCCATGATAGTCGGTCAGCCTTTGATTTTGCAATTCAAGTTTATGGAGACGACGAAATAGATTTGATAAAATTTATGTACGAAAGCATAAATCACGTTTCAAATAATTTAGGAAGTTTAACTAATTTGCATAAATTATGTCTCGCAAAGAAAAACGTCTCAGTAAGCAAAGTAGCAGAAATGCTGCTTGAAAAAGAAGATGTGAATGGAACGGAGGGACTTGAAAGGTAATTTATTATTATTATAATCTTAAAACAAATATACAAAAAAAAACGAAAGAAAATATTATTATAAAGAAAGAAAGAAGATATCTTTATAAATAAAAAATAACGAAACAAAGAATAAACCTGAAGAAAACAACAAGGTTTCTTGTTACTAAGAACAGCTGAAACCAAACTTCAACAATTTTAATGTCATTATTACCTTATTCTAAAATTATTCTTAAATAGCTGAGTTAGCTTTCAACTTTTTTGTTAAAGCCTTAGAACTTAGTTTTTTGTTTAATGTCACAGTTTAAACTGCCGTTTTTGACTAAACATTTCCAGAGCAGACAAAATCGGGGGGGGGGGGGGGGGAAAGATAGAGAAGATAGAGAGGGCTGCTTTTTTTCAAAATTGACGTTTGTGCCCCTCCACTTCAAAACCAGTGTCGTCGGCCCTGATTTTAAAGCAATAGTTGATAGTATTAAACAAGAAGTACATAAAAATAAAGAATTAAAAGTTTTAATTCTTTATTTTTATGTGTTTGTGGTTTCGGCTTTCATATATATCTCTAAATATATTTTCTTATTGACTTTGTCGAATTCTGCGCATAACCTTGATCTAATTTCACAACATGTGGTTTTATTGTCACTTGCTTCCTGCAGTCTTGATAATAATTGGCCTTAAACTAAGGCCAAAATTATTCGTAGGCCTTGGCCTTGAAACTTTTGTTCTTGGTCTTGACGTTGAAATTCTTGTCCTTGGCCTAGAATCTTTTAGCTTTGGTCTTGGCTTTGAAACATGTGGTCTTCGCCTTGGTATTTTTGGCCTTTTTAACAACTCTGGTTATGGGTATACACATATACATACACACAACCTACTTAGATATACATATATACACAAACCTATGTACATATATACGCAAACCTTTTTGTGTGTACATACAAAAATCTGTGTGTACATTCGTACACACAAATTTTCATAAATTTAAAAAAGCATACATGTTAATTTTTTTTTATTTTAACACAGGCAAACAATAAAAAATTTTTCCGGTGCAAACAAAACGTTTTGTATAGCATTTCTTATTTTGATTTCGAGTATGCATTTTAAGTCATTTTTCAAGAGTCGTATTTTCATAGAGATTTTTAAAATAATATTTGTTTGTAATAAAAATCAATACTTTTTTTATTGTTTTTTAGAAACATTATGTTAAAAATGTTTTAAAAATCATTTTTTCGAAATATTTTATAGTCAAAAAATTCTAAATAAAAATCTGTTTTTGTTTTTTGTTTATGTTTTCTAAAATCTCTATGAAAACACGCTTCTTTTGAGACCCAGGTTGACAATATTAGGGAGTTTACCACATATGCTAAAGATTTGAACCTAAATATCTTTACAAATTAACTAGTGATGGTGATAGTCATATCATATCATATATATATTCTGAAAAATAATTTCATGAATATTTACAAATAGTAATTCTACTAATATCAAGTAAACGTTAAAAATATATATGTTAAAAATAATATCTTTATATATGTAATTAGCAATATTTATAAGAATAATAATTATGATAATAAAAATAATATTTATAGTAATAAACATAAGAACCACAATAATAATAAAAAAAAAAACAACAATAACAGTTATAATATTAATTAAATTAAAAAAGTAACCAAATAAAAATTGTTATTTGATTTTATTTTTTTTATTTTTTTATTTTAATAATTTAATTAACATTTTTTTAATTTAATTAATTGACTTAAGTCACTTGTTTTTATAAAAACAATAGCTAAATATACATATAAATTAGTTACCAACAATTGTCTGATAAAACGTAACAACTAACAAGAACATAAAACTTTTATTTAAATTGAAATTAATAAAATATGAATAATAATAGTAAAGATAAAAATAGTAATAATTGTGGCTAGGATAAATATTTAGAACTAAAAGAAATAAAACTATAACAAAAAACGATAAAAATTAAAGATAAAATAAAGAAAAACAAAAAAGCATTCAAAAAAATGAAAAAAGTTTTATATTGTTACATGGACACACAAACACAAATATAAAGATATTTACACATACTTACCCTCATGCATAGATACACACATATTTGCACATAAATACACACGCGCGCGTACATGCACTCACATAGCTATGTATACATACACATGTAGATACATATACATATACAACTTCAAAAATATATACATTTTTTAAAATGTCCAACTAGCATGAAAATTAAAACATTTAAATGAAAAAACATACGATGCAAACAACGCACTAAGTTATACAACAAAATGAATTATACTCTAGAATGCCCAATTAACAATACACAAGAATACAAAAACAAAAAACAACAACAACAAAAAAGACAAATGTCCCTCAAAATCAATAAAATTTAAAAAATATTCTTTTACGTTTCTTCAAAAACGGCAAAATGCATTTTTGTCTTTTCTTTTCTCGTTTCTTTTTTTTTTTTTTTGTTTGTTTTTTGCTTTTTCATTTCCTTTTCTTTCTTTTTTTTGCTCTCTTTATATTTATTTTTCTTATTTTCTTATTTATTTATTTTTTTTCTTTGTCTTTCTTTCTTTTTTTTCTTTTTTTTCTTTTTTTTTTGTTTTTTTTTGTTTTTCTTTAATTTATTTATAAAATTGTTATCGTTATTAAAAGAGTTGCATATTTATTTGATAGCATGCGATATAAAAATAGCATTATTTAATATTATTATTATTATCTTTTTTATTTTTCCTTTCTTTTATTACAAAAGAATTTAAAGGTCATAATACATTTAAACAAATTATAAAGTGTATATACATGGTAAATGCTATACTATGTATAGCATACATTTTTTAATTTGTTTAAAAGATTTTATGCTTAACTGTATTATTAAAAACATTTAAACATAAAAGAAAAATTTTAAAACATTTAAACTTAAAACGAAAAAAATTAATTACATTTAAACATAAAACGAAGATCATTAAAATCATTTAACTGATGTATATTAAGATATTATTAGGTATTAAATATTAAAGATTAAATTAGGGAGAACTTGAGTGAGTGAAACGATTTTCGAAAATTACAAGACGTGCAATGTGCAACAATAAAGTGGCGTTAAAATACTTTTGTAAGCACTACCTCAACCAATAATAACATAATAATAGGACACTGGATAAAATATTAAAATAGTAAAGTTAATTAATGTTTGTTTAAATTTCTTGCTTTATATAAAACTCTAATACTTTTTGAAATTTCACTGAGTGTGTCCGATGTGAATTGAATCGTAATAGTCTTCAAACATCTATGCATGTATTAGTTTATTTTAAAATAGTATGAAACTTAACTATGTCAAAACAACTACTAACATTAAAAATATATTCTTTTTCAGAACTCCCCTCATGATTGCTGCAAAAACAAAAAAGACAGATTTAGTCAAAGTTTTGCTGCAAAACAATGCAGATGTAACGCTTTTTGATGTCAATTATAAAATGGCGATCCATTACTGTGCAAAAAATACTGAGCAAGTTTAACACATTTAGTTTTTAATTTTATTAATTTCCTTTCTTTTTATTCTTTAAAAAAATCTATGGTTGCTTTATTATGCTTTCCATTTTGTTTGATAGGGAATACAACTTAATTAAAGATGCTGTGATTATGGCCAAACGCACAACGGTAAATAATGCATAAATTTATTTGTTTTTAGCAAAAAAATTACTTTATAGCTTCATTTTTACGCTTTTTTTATTAGGAGTGATAAAATTTAATTTGTTTTTGTAATGTTTTTTAATAAACAGTAAAAATATATAACTAAGATAATATTTTTTTATTAATATTTTTTTATTAGGAGTCAATATCACAAAGTTGTGCAAAAATAAATAAAAACGAAAGCTTTAAAGTTAAATCGTAAGATATTTTATCAATTGAATTAAATTATTTACTTGTTAAATTACCTTACAATACATGTCGAAACTTGTTGCATTACATGTCAAAACTTGATGCATTCATGTTGAATCTCTTTGCTTTGAATGTTGAATCTCTTTGCATTACTTACTGAACCATGTTACATCATTTTTAAACCACTTTACATTACTTGTCAAATAACGTAACACTAATTGACTAACCTTGTTTTATTACTTTTTAAACATTGTTACTTTACTTATCAAACCTATTTACAATACTTGTCAAATCTTGTTGCACTACTTGTCGAACCTCGTTGCATTACTTATTGAACCCTGCTGCAATAAATATAATATATATTTTGCTCCAGACATCGATTTTGATTTAGATGTGCGATATTAAAATACGGCAAAATAAGTTTAACTAATACGGCTATAACCAAAATAATTTTTAATAACCTTTTTGAAAAAGTAATTTGTTTACCGGAAAATAAAGGCTTCATTTATCAAATCAAGTATTATGTAACCTTAATATGAGTCATATCTACATACCCAGGGCGAAACGAGCAGTTTTTTAGAGTATAAAATAACTTTCAGACATGGAGCTAACTCAAAACATTTGTGTTATGTCAAAAACTTATTTCAAAAACAAGTTGGTACAATACTTTTTTACTATTAATTAAATTTATATTTATCAATAAATTTTAATTTTTATAGAATAATCTTTTAGCCTTCAAAAACTGACACGTAAATGTGTAACCCCCTCAAATTAAAGTGGGTTTAAACTTTATTTTTTTAATATACTTTATTTTTATATTATTAATCTATGAAAGTTCTAATTTATTAATGAATATAAATTTAGTTAGAATAAGTATAAACATATATATGTTATAAACATATATATGTTTTATCACAAATACCAAAAAAATGCTGTTTCTGTTCCTCTACAGATTCTAAAGACTTTTTTATTTTTTTTTCCTTGTATATATATATATATATATATATATATATATATATATATATATATATATATATATATATATATATATATATATATATATATATATATATATATATATATATATATATATATATATATATATATATATATATATATATGTACATATATATGTATATATCTATATATTACTAACAAGATGTTTTCGTTTAGATTGTGCATTAACAAGAAAACGTTCACTCCCGTGGAATCATTTACTTTTTTTTGATATATTTTAATACGACTTAAATTTTGACTTGAATTATTATATTTTATGTTTTAAGTATTTTTTTTTAATAGTTTATGTCTGTTATAGTTAACTTATGTGAGTTTTGCTTTGCTGAAAAACGTTAATAGAAACTGCAAAAAATAGGTAACTGCGTTAAAAAAATATACCACTTAGAGTAGACTAAAAGTGCTTACGCCATAATAGACAACAGTGGCATTATATATCGACTTTGCAATTTTAGTAAATCCTTGATTAAGAGGGCGAGGATTTCCTATGACGGATTGTTTTCTTTACGTAAAAAGTTTTTTTATTGCAATAAACTTCATAGTTTTATAAAATTCATTTCTTTGTTTCAAAAATATGCGTTTCATCATCATTGTATTTGAGTATTCTTTAAATATTTCAACCAAACATATAAAATAATATAGACCCACTAGTAAAAAATGCACATCTTTTAGTCAAATTTTTATAGTCAATTTAACCCTTTCGCAACTAAGCCAAAAACAGCTACATGACTGCGCGTAAAATAAAGAACTAGGATCATGATCAATTGAAAGAGTATAAAATAAAACCAATCAGAATTTTAAAAACATCAGAATTTTAAAAACAAATAACTACCAATCAGAATTTTAAAAACAAGACCATGTTTTTTTTGTCTAATTGATTTTCAGAATATCCAAAAACTTTAAAAAAATTTTCTTTATCTTAGTTAAGTGATCAAAATATATTATGTTAAGATAAACAAAAATATATAGTTTTTTTATGCAAGTTTAAACAAATAAAATAGAAATAGATAAACATATCATTTTTGATATTAAATTAATGAAGCCTTATAGTGCTGATCAAACAAAAAAAATATCCACCACTATTATTGAAAAAAATACAAATGATTTTATTTATATCAATAAAATATAATCTGTTCTTCGTCATTTTTTAAAATTGATTTTTGAGCGATCCATAAATGTAATTAAGAAACGGTTTGAAGCATTAACTAAAGAAATTATTCATAATTCAAAGATAATTTTAAAGTTTTTCCCAATTGCTATAGATGTTTTGAAATATTTAAAATTGTTTATGCACTGCCATGCGGGTCACTCGTCATTTAGATACAAATTTTATGAACCGCCATACGAGTCACGCGTCACGAAAGGGTTAAGAACCGCGTATTTAAAAAAAAAAAAAAAACGCTCAAGTTGTTATTTGTTACTTTTACTTACATTACTTTTGTAAAACAACAAAATTAGATGTTTTCTGCGTTTGCTTGTCTTTTGAGCTTGTGTATAACATATTTTTAGCTTTTATTTCTGACAACTACGATGTAAAATATTCATAAAAAATATAAAGAATGAAGTCTTTTTTAGATTAACAAATTTTATTGGTTATTATTTTTGTAGAGTGTTTTAAAGAAACAAAGATTTTTTATGCGTACAGATTGCATACAAAGACAATTTTAAAGGGAGGGTGTGTGGGGGAAGGGAATGTTTTACCCCCTAAAAGAAGGTGATTTTTAAGTTTTTTTTTTTATATATATTTTGTCACTATATATTTTACATACAATTAATTTTATTTCATGTATACATTTATAAATAAGATAAAAATTAAAATAATGACAGGAGCAAGTAGAAGACTGCAGTCTTATCATCAAGCCCCTTTCATTTGCAACTTTGCAATAAGTTTCACTTGAGCTTAACGTGACATGAAAAATTCATAAGTAGCCTTGTACGTAAAAAATAAAGCCTTGTACGTAACGATCTGATAGATGTGTATAAAATAGAAAAACTATTTATATTGTGATATAACCATCGTTTCTGGTCATCCAAAAGGGATAAGTTCGTTTTAGTTATTATTAATTTGATCTATAAAAGTAGGAGAGTATGTTGACGTCACTTAAGTTAAATAGGTGCTGTTTGATAGCTGCTTTAAAGAGATTTGATGACTTCATGTTTTTTATTTCTTCTTTAAAGATTGAATTCCATAGCCACGGTCCTCGAGATAAAATAGAGAAGTCAGTTACTTTAAGTAAAATCTTCGGAATGTTAAAGTTTTAAAAAGAGTACTTTGTTGGGTATTTGTGATCTATGGTGGAAAATTATTTTCAAAGTATTTTGGTAGTAAATTATTTTGCGATTGAAACATAAATAATACATTTTGGAGAAGGTTCAGCTCATAAACATTTAAAGCTCCAATCTCCCTAAATAATGGTTTGGCATAGGTATATCTGTTAGCATTGCATACAATTCAACACGCTTGCTTTTGTTTTACATATATCTTTTTTAGTACTAAAGAGTATGTGTTTGCCCAAACGATATTACAATAGTTGATGTAACTGTGAATGAACGAATAATATATTTTTTAAGCAAGTTTTATTTAGAAGGTGTTTTATTTTATGTATGATGCCGATTGACTTGGAGTTTTTATTTTCGATGTGCAAAATATGATTCTTACAACTAAGATTTTCTTGAAAAATTATTCCCAGGATTTTTATCGAATGGTCTCTTTCAATATTAATGTTGTTGATCATTTTTGACAAATTTAGTGGGCTATTTGGGTATTTGACACAATTCAGTCGGGTGAATTTTAGTTTTTAAGGATCTTTTAATTTTTATTTTTAAGAGACTTTTAACGGATTCCCCTATTCCCCTCATTTTTATTTTCGTAGCAAGGTTGAGGCAAGTAAGAATTTTTTTTAATTTCTTTATTTTATGAGCCCCAAAATGTCCTTACGGATTTATCACAGAACACCGCGGAAAAGCGGTGTTTGCCCAGTTGTAAAACTTGCCCAGAGGTGGTGTTGAACAACGGTTCTCTAGCTAATAAGGCAATCGCGCTAACCGCTGGGCTACGGCTTAAACGCACTTAATTAAACATGGTGGTTTTCGTTTATGACCTCAAAATAATTTTTAAATCATTTTCACAACAAGTTCTTTATTTTTATTTTTTATTTTATTGCTTTTTATTTATTTTATTACTTTACTTTTAAATAGTTCAAATTTAACAAAAAAAATTTTTTTACTTTTTGCCTTTTATTAATCAATAACGTCTTTAAATCAAGAAAAAATGGTAAAATATTTATATCAATGCTTTTTACATATAATTTTACTGTTCAGTAAATTGTAGGCCAATTAAAAAATATTGAGAAATACGGCAATAAACATTAATATGTTAAGCAAATAACAGGATAAAAAAGTTGAAAACAAATTATCATATTTGTTACTTATTGTTATAATAAAAAAACTCAACAAAATACCAAAAAAAAGTGTTTTTCATAGAGGGCTTTTTAAAATTTGTATGATCTACTTTACAATATTTTATTATAAACTTGTCCAACTGCTTACATAAGACATAAAATTTTACCCATTAATTATAAAATAACTTATCTTTTTTTCAAAATTTCTAGAAATTTTCCGGAAAATTTCCCAGCATTTAAATACTCTTGCGCGGTGCTTTGTGATAAGACTGGAATTTTGGTGATAAATTTAAGTTTTGATTCATCATGGTATGTCACACTTTAACTCAGCTAATTTTATTTGCTGAGGTACTAGTTTAATAGAAAAGATCTAGATGCTTTATGACATCTTTCTGCACAACAAAATTAACATTTTTAAGTAAGAGCTTACATCTTTATAATAAAGCTTACATCTTTATGATAAAGAAGCATTTTATTGTCATTATTATTGCAAATTATTGCGTACATGATTTTTTCATTTATAAATGTTCGTATAAATGTCATCCAGACATTGTTTTTAAGTATGTAATATAATAGGCAAATTATGTGAAATTTTGAACAGATTTAAAACTAGAATGTTATATATCATCAGATAGGACTTAAATGCAGTATTTAGAAATGAAATATTATCAAAATTGAACAAATTTATAAAAAGTTATAAGTTTTAAAATAACAAACTTTTGAAATATGGGTTAAAGACTATAGTGAAATTTAGTTTTTTTTTCACTTAAATTGTTTTTTTTTATCAATTCTAATATAAATGTCTATAAAATGCTACCAAAAGATAGATGTAGGAGTGGGCTACAAATGTTTTTTTTTTTTTTTTTTCTTTCTCTGTTTACATAACTTAAGAATTTTACAAATTCCACTAAATAATATAAAATTTAACAACTCAAGTAAAACAGATAGGGGCTCAAAAAAGATGAGAATGACAGAACGACATACAAATGACATACAAAATAAAAATTTCAATAAAATATCATAACAAAATGCGTAATCCGCTAATAAAATTTGTCAAGCAACAAACAAAAGTAGAAACAAAACAAAAACGTATTTAAGAGAATTTATCCAATGCATTATTAACAAAAAATGTTTCACAGGTTTTAATGATTTCTTTTTTTGTTAAAAACTTGAATGAACTTAACGAACTCACCGTACCTTTGAACCCTTTTTAAAAAATATTCCATACTTTTGGACCTCGATATAAAATACTGTATTCTGAATATTTATTTATTATCCTAGGCAGTTTAAATGTGTTCGCTCTAAGACTATAGTTATCACTTTTATTTAACTTAAACTTATTATTAAAGCTTATAGAAGAGATATTGTGATTGTAACGATACATGAAAATTAAATGCTGGTAGATAATTATTTCAAATACATTCATCATTTTCATATCTTTCATCAAGGGATTAGCGTGTTCCCGCCTATTTTTAAAATAAATGATTCTACAAGCATGTTTCTGAAAACTATAAAGTTTCTTAAGCTTTGCTGTTTGAGTACTTGCCCATGAAATGTTTGCATAGCTGATGAGGCTGTGAATTAGCCCAAAGTAGATTAATTTAAGACTATTTGTATTGATGTACGAGCGAACTCGATACATTAAACCTATGATTTTGGTAGTTTTTGACTGGATATATATTTTATGTGGAAGCCAGGATAATTTTTCATCAACAACGATTCCCAAGAATCTTATATTGGATTGCTTTTTAATTAATTTATCATTTATAAATAGGTTCGGCAACTTGAGAGGAAGATTTTCTTTTTGTGTTTTTTTATGAAAAAGTACATAGTTTGTTTTCTCGGCATTAAGTGAGAGTTTGTTAGCCTTAAACCAGTTATTTACTTTATTTAGTTCAATATTCATGTCCGCATATAATTTCTTGATATCGTTGTTGGTAAGAAATAAACTCGTGTCATCTGCAAACATGACTGAATTAAGTTTTAAGGATGCATTACAGAAGTCATTTATATATATTAAAAAAAGAAGTGGACCAAGAATCGATCCTTGCGGAACTCCGCATATGACATTTAACACTCCAGATTAGGCATTATTTACATATTGTTTTCTGTTTGTAAGATAGCTTTTAATCCAATAATAAGTTTTATTAATTATTCCGTAATGTCTT